CCCCCCCCCCCCCCCCAAAAAAAAAGGGTTTAAATCCTCCTTTGATTATTGATCTGTTATATTTATTTTGCTATAATCGATTTTCAAATTTATGCTACAACATTTTTAATTTCTGTTTTTTGTTTTCTAAAATATAAGTTATTTGACTAATATTTGATAACAGTTTTCTGCTTATTTATTTTGAATAAAAACTGATTGTTTTTCTATTTCATGAAATTGTAATTTAAATCTAAAAACAAAAGACGAAGTTATTAAGCCTTTGTTTGAAAGTTATCATATTTCCAAAGAATTCCTAGTGTGTTTGTCATTTTTCTCCAAAATACATTGCATCTTTTTCAATCCTAACTTTTATTTTATATCGAAGTTAAGCTTTTGAGCTAAATCATATTTTCTTTTGAACGAACCTTTTTTATTCTCTTAACATTCCTTCTTATTTTATCACGATTTCAATTTTAGTAGATTACAAAACAGAAGGGTAAATCCTTTTTCATAATTTGGGTTGTCTCCCTTCTAACATATTTTCCTTCAAACCATCTTTTCTTCCCTTGCGACTTTTATCCATCTGACCGCTTCGTCTCTCTCTCAAATTTTACTCTTCAACCTCTTATCTTTTAATTTTAAAATAGAGTATCTAATCGGCAATCTTTACTCTTTTAATTACTCTCTTCAACATTACCTTTTTATCTTTTAATTTCAAAATAGAATATCAAATTGACACTCTTTACTCTTAATTATATTTTAGACAAAAATAAGTTGGGGACGGATTGGTTAGAAAAGATTAAGAAAGGTAAGTTAGTGGGGTATAAACTTAAAATAGGGTGCTCCCTAGCGTCGATTTAAAATAAATAAATAAACATTTGAAAATCTTAATTTGGTCTATAGAAGCCTGTTTTTTAGTTTTACTTGCACATTTTAAAACGTTTCTCAAATTTAAATAATATGCCTACTTAACTTTTAAATTTTCTCTAACGTACGTAAAACTTATAATTTTGTTCTAATAGATTTTAGACAAAAAAAAAAAAACTATATGCAAAACAATAATAATCTACTACGCATAAATCTAAACAAACTCGAAGTCTTCGTAAATAAATAAATTTTGTATTTGCAATTTTTTAAGTTAAATGGTAGTTAGGGAACCTAAATTTTTTATATTTGAAAAACGCAACATATGGTCATCGATAGGCCTATATTCTTAAAATAAGCAGAAATAAAATATTTTTTCTATAAGACATGAATAGATAAAGTACTTAGGTTCATAAAACTTTATTTCTATTAATCAAGTTTTAATATCCAATAACACTAGCTTACTGCAACTTCAAATAGCTATCGATTCAGACATGACGCGATCACATCAACTCACGGAAACAAGTAGAGGGGAAAATCTTTTCGTTCTATTTTTAATTCAATTTTCGATCACGTAAAATAGCTACAATTCACACTCAATCAATTTTCAAATTTTATAAAAAGTAAAATAATGTCATTCATATGATATTTTTCATTCAATGAATGATATGTTTTTTACAAATTCAAAAATTAAAAAAAAAAAATTGCGAATAAAGGTTTAAATAAGATATAAAAAATTAATGAATCCAAACAATTTTGTTAATAGTTTTTTGTAAAAAAAAATTGTTCTGGTTTTTCCCTAATTTCCCCTTAAAAACACTTGAATTACTAGTAAAATTCTAAAAACAAAAATAAGTCTATAAAAACTATTTTTTTATTTTTATTTTCAGAACTTAGCGAGGGTAGAAAGTGCGTAACAAAATCCAAAAACTTATGGACATAAATAATGTTTATAAATTTCATTATTAAGAAAAAAAACGTTTCATCTTACTAAAAACAGTTATTTTTTATAAAATTCAAGTGAATGATGCGGAAATAGAGCATTCACCTGACAGAGCAAGACCAAGCTAGCAATCGACAATATTTGTAGCACTCGTACGGCCCTTCCCTTGGTTTTACACTACTGCTGCCGCTGTTTTCCTTTGGGTACGTAGGGGGCAAAAACGACATTTTCAGCTGGCCCACTCAAGAAAAATTTACAATTCAGAAAATAAGACATTAGACTTGGAACTAGACCACTGAACATTGAAATACCTCTAGAACTCCAAATTCAAACTCCACAAACAAATTTTTGGACTCCAAATAACATGCAAAATTTGGTTAAATAAGTACTAATTATTTAACACACAACCTTAAAAAGAGAGCAGGGCAGAAGTCCACAAACGAATAAAGTCTCCTCGGCATTTTATCCATAATTGATCTGCCAAAAGGGATCCAATAATGAAAAGAATTAATAATTCAGATACTCGATTTCTTTAGTATTTAAATTAATCTCTTACAATTTTTCACAATTTCCAACTTTACTCAATGTTTGATAGCTTTTATAATCAGAAGAGATATTTTTGTAGCCATCTCTGTTAAAATATCGAGAACAAAATTAACACATTAGGATCAAAATTTATGATCAACCGGAAAAATAGAAATCGACTAATTTTTACACAATTGGTTTCAATTTTGCCCATAATGTTTTAATCAATAATTACTCTGATCTTTGAGTTTGTATTGGGCATTTTAGCGAACATAACTAACAGAGTTTTTAAAAAATAAATTAGTTTTGAAACATTAATTGCAAAATTAAAATTAACTAAATCAGTGAAAGAATGGAAGGTGGAAGTATGTTACTTGTATATTATGGCGGTCCACGAGAAGCTGCAGTGTACTCTCAAAAGTCCTTTGTAAAGATCTCCGAGTCAATTTGCTGTATGTTTGGGAAAATCTGTTTTAGTCTGGCAAAATAGTTGGGAGTCTTTGCCTGCAAAAAAAGACCATCGGTTGTCATGAAAACGCCAAACAGAAAGATCCATTCACTATTTATGGCTGATGAAATACCTAATATGAAAAATCAGAGACTCAGTTCAATAGCTATTTAGTATTTGATTTAGAGTTTTTTGAAAATTAAACTTATAAACATATAAGTTTCTTTGTTTTCTTTGTTTTCGTATGCACTTTCTACCAAAGTTTCAAAAAACCAAGCCATGTTTTTGAACTAAAAAATATATTTTTGTTTTTGGAACTTGACTAAGAATTCAAAAGGTTCTTACCATTGTAGGGAAAGTAAGAGAAAACAAGCAAACAGGAAAATGAAAAAACTAAATCATTATCAAACAGAACCTAAAAAAGTCTAAAATGCCAACCCCCACCCTGAGAGGCAAAATCGCGGCTTAGAGGAGTTGCAGGGAAGATTTGTATTATTTTAGATTTCTACGGCTTCCAAACTGACAAGAAATATTCAAGCAGCATATCAAATAAAATGCTAATAAAGGAGTTATAGTGTTTATATACACATGTCTAGTACGAAAATTGGATTTTCATCTTACAAAAATTCTTTTATTTAAGTTCGCAGGATGGTTATAAGGAAATGAGATGAAGATTTCAGATATGGAAAGCAGAAGAGTAAGCTAGCATGCCAAATCAAAGAATTGAGAAGCACAGAAAATCTATGATAGTTTTCTTCTTTAAAAATAGAAAGAGTAGAAATAAATTGTTATGAACGACGCCTATACTTTTCCCACAGAAATCATAGCTGAAATATGAAACATGAAGAAACCTATACTAAGCCCCAAAGATATCATCATCACACTATTGAAGCGCCAACAGTTCAGAAACTAGAGGTCATAATGGCCTTACCAAGTTGAAAGAAAATTTTTAAGTTATGAACATTCTTGAGTATGGAAACTTACACATGGATTGTTCTCAAGGTAGATGGTCGTCAGTTTCTCTCTTGAACCTGCAACATCCTCAGAAATGCTTTCAAGTGATTCAATTTGGTTGTCGTTAAGCCATAAATCTTCTAAACTGCAAACATAGATCCAGTGAAGGTTCCAGATTATCACTCTAGGAAAGATAAGCATGTCGCATAAGATGAAGCTAGGGAATTTGTGATACCGTGTCAGTTTTTCAGTGCCACTCACACTCGTTAGCTTATTCGATGAAACATCCAAAATACGAAGATTGACTAACGTTGAAATGCCTTCAATTTTTGAAATTCCATTATGGCTCAGATATAATTCTTCCAAAGCAATACAGCCCTGACAGGTTGGGAAAAGAACAAAAAAGTTGTGGAGAGTGCAAAGCAGCGATTGAATACACCAGGATGTTTATTGTGCAAATTGAAACAACAAATTTCTGTCATAATCAAGTACCATACCTCAAATCCTGTCATTGAAGTCAAACGGTTGCTTTGCAGACTAATTTTCTGGAGACATCTTAGTCCACAAAGGTTTACTGCCTTGATCCGGTTACGCCCTAACCATAGCTCTTGCAAATTCACTAAGTTTCGCAAATTCTCCATTACCTGTAAAGCAGTGTAGAAACTTCAATCACAATGTTATTATCCAAAAATATTTGAAAAATAACAAGTCTCTTATGGAGAAACAAACTAAAATTTATCTGTTTGCTTCTTCAGGAGAGAATGCCTGTATTATTTTTAAGTTTTTTTTCTTTCACCATGAGCATTGCTCCTTTAATTACAAGTAAAGAGTACCGTATGAAATAAAGTAAAGCACGGATGATCATATATTCACCTTCCTAAGACAAATAGTTATATAGAAAGCTCTGACTAGAAGCTATACCTAATATTCATACTGTGAGATAACTGATACAATAAAGATTTTTAACAAAAGATATAGAGAGCAAACCCGCAGTCTATTGGAACCAAGCTCAAGAATCTGTAACTGATGGAAGTGATCTAGCTCTTCCATTTTAACAACTTCATTCTTAGATACATAAAGTTCCGTCAGTGAATCGGAGACCTTGGACAAGCCATGTAGCGAAGTGATTTCGTTGAAAGAAACATCAAATACCAAAAGCCTCTTGAATATGCTCGCATCAGGAATTTTCGTCATTTGATTGTCTCTGAGAATAAGTTCCTATAACAACGAATATAATAATAAATATCGCAAGGTCTTGCGTTATTCTAGAATTGCTTCACTTGAAGGAACGTCGAGCAACATTTTCGATGATGTGATTAAGTTAGAACACTCACCGAGCAACATAAGAATATTGATATATCTTTAAAACTCACTGACGCATTGACAACAACGACAAAAGAAAAAAAAAACGTAAAAATAGATCTCTACATTATAATTAGAAGCAATGTTCCGTCGATTCTGATTTAATTTTCTAAAAAACGAATGCGACGAAGAGGAACGATTGAATACCTCGAGACCTGACAGAGCGTTCCAGCGAGAAAGCGATTCAACCGCAGCATCATTAATGAGATTCTGACGAAGAGAGAGCTTCTTCAGGTTCGAGAGCTCTCCAATCCGAGAGTCCAAACTCGAAAGTCGATTTGCCGTCAGGTCCAATTCCATTAAACTCGAAGGCAACTCAATAGAGTCCAGGTCATGGAGCTGAAAGCTGGTGAGATCGAGAACCGTAGAATTGAGATCATCTACTATCATCGGATCATCCTCCTTCGATTCCAAACCAGACGGTGATTCGTATACAGCGTCCATGCGAAACCTAGAAATCCAGACGGCAAAGAAGATTGAAGCTGAAGCTTGTTTCGCAGAAAACCGGAGCTTCTACTTGTGTTCGATTAATTGGAAATGGAATTCTGAGTTTGCGTTCAAGAACCGCTCTCTTTCAGTCTTGATGAAGGTGTCTGGGTTCCCTAGTCTTAACTGTTTGGGCTCGAATAGCCGTGAGGGCCCAATTCATCTCATGGGCTTTTCAAACAATTAGGCCCATTAAGACAGGCCCAAATGTCTTCTTTGAGGCTGGGCCTGTTTGTTATTGTAAAAATGGAAATATATAATATTTTAATATTAAATCGAATTTACTAAATGACTAAAATAGCCCGACCATTTTAAATCTAAACAAAATAAGATCCCTAAAATTAAATTTTAATTAATTAATTTATCAAATTAAATCTATATCTTAATGCACGATAAGATCTATTAATTTAAATTTTAAATTATTCATATTTAATCGACCAGTTTAATGCCCTATTTTAAATTTTTTAAACATTATTTTATTATTTTAAATTAAAAATAAAAATTAATTTTAAGATTCATGTACTAAGATAAATTTAAATATTTGAATTTAGAAAAAATCAAATCAAATCAAATCCAAAATACATCTTATTTTATTTTATAAATGCGTATTCTTTTGACAAGTAGTTTGAAATACGTATAGATTTTGCATACTTTTTCTTGTCAAATTAAAGGTATTAAAACCATAGAATATAACGCATGTGGAAATAAGAGAACCGTACTTTAGAACATTTAATCAAATTATTATTTATTATACTATATAGTTCGTTCAATTATATACGATTATAATGTAACAGGTTAGAATTTTCACTACACGCAACTTAAACTCGTCGAAAAATATAAATTCGAATATCTACCTAACGTATGAGTATTAAAGGACCATTGATTGATAAGTGAAAAAGACTTGTCTGTGACTCGTTTGATATACTTCATGTGAATCGTAAAGATTTTATCGTATATTTGATCGACGTGTTTAAACTAAAATGATATTATACAAAATCAATCAATCAAAAAAACGCTTGATTCTCGAGGTAACAGGCAATAATATATGTTTAAAATAGTTGAGTTATACTTGAATTGGTATAAAACATGTGAGTTCAATAAGGAGACTCGACTCTACTAGATCATTATTAAGTCGAGTTGATACGTTGACTCAAATATGGCAACCAAACTCATATTTCCAATCAACGTCCTCGATTGAGAAAATTTTTAACCTCTTTCGTGATTCATGAAATATTTATCGAAAACGTAAGTTTTTTCGTCCTTTTCTGTGAAACAAAACTAAGCTTTTTCCATCCATTTTCCATCGACGATAAATTAATTTTCAATATCAAAACCTTACGCGTTTTTTCATTTTAGTCATTATATTTTCCAAATATCCACTTTCTATCAACGTGGGACACCCCCCCCCCCCCCCCCCCCCCCCCCCCCCCCCCCCCCCCCCCCCCCCCCCCCCCCCCCCCCCCCCCCCCCCCCCCCCCCCCCCCCCCCCCCCCCCCCCCCCCCCCCCCCCCCCCCCCCCCC